CTCAGTCGTGTCAGATTCCTTATGACCCCATGGAATGCTGCACACCAGGTTTCCCTGTCCTTCACTATCTCCCGGAGTTTGCTCAATTCTACTCCTGTTTCAATTTTTTTTTCCCATTAAAATGAGAATGCACTGCCATCTACTGGACTCTGAAGACATTGCTGCTACAGAACTCTTAACAATTTAAAACTTTTTATACTTTATCAATAACATAATAGTTATTATGACAATATAAGTTATATAAAAATAAAACTCCAAAAGTTGAGGCTAGGGATAAGGTAGGGTAAGACAGGAAAAATACTATCCCCTTGAGATTTTTAATCTCAATTATTGCTATGACAGTTCTAAATAGAGCAAGCATTCACCTGCATTTGTTAACAAAGTGAGCCCCTCCTACATGCTGGGCACTGTTCAAGGGACACAACTGCTGACAGAGTGGTAAGGATGAGAGATGTAATCCCTCTTTTCATATGGTCTAGAGACTACTGAGTAGTGGTGTCCATACTGAACTTTCCTCATGTGCCAGGCTCATAATATACATTTTCACCTTGAATATTCAAAATAATTTATGATGAGGAAGACATTGTTATGTCCATTTACAGACAAAACAACAAACTCAGAGATGACTCAGTTTGCCCAAAATCTCTCTCATGGTAAGCAGAAGTGGTGCCTGGAATACAGCTCACATCAATCTGACTCCAACACCCATATTCTTAACCACTATGAGTGTTCATTCACCCAAGTAGCTGTCAGCATTCTTCCAAAAAGAAAAGTTGTTGCCAAAAAGAAATTCAGATAATAACTTTACATGTCTGTATTAAAGGTAAAACTCCTGCACAAGGATCTGAAAAGTCTCCAGCTTACTGGATCAAGAGCTGGCCCAACAGCCTCTCATTCCCTGTGCTCCTTCAACTGCCCTCCCAGTAGCAAAATCCACCTGAGAAACATCTCTCCCGGTCACCTAGCCTGATTCACCAACCTCTTCCTAAGGTTCTCTTCAAATTAGTTACTTTTCTGCTATAACTCACTGTGTTAAGATCCAAACAACTGACATCAAAAATAATTTTTCAAACTAAACCTATTTGTAAACTGGAGCTCTTCTGGAAAAAATGCTACTTTATCTCAGGTAAAAGAATAAATGCTGGTGAGTCTGCACCTAACATTTCCGCATCCTAGAGTACTTAGTATAACGATGGTCATATAGTAGATACTTGATATTTGCTGACAGAAAAAAATCATGAATCATGTTTACAACTAAAAATAGGTTTTTATTATCATTTATCCAATTATTTTTTGTCTGCATTGCTGTTCAATATGTAAGAGTTTACATTTGTAAGCCAAATAAATGCAACTTTACTACATAAAATTAACAAGGTGTCACTCCCTAATAATGCCAGCAGAAGTTACTGAATGAAGGATTCAGACCCACAGTATAGTAAATTAGTCAATACGTAGTATATTAGTCAAAGATTTTCAAATGTATTAAATAGTTTCCAAACACATCCCTGGAAGTGAGACTGAATACTCATCCAACGCAGTAAAAAGCTGAGAGATTTACTAGATTCCTAACAACTCAACAGAAATGTGTAAATCCTTTTTGAGAAGCAGATAAACAAAGAGGCAAAAGTTTTGAGCAAATAAACTTCAATTTTTAGACCATGGTGGCTGAAGATACTTTAACGTGGACAGGAAGAATTAACAGCAACATAATCATCAGATGTGTTTCTGGTTACAGCTAATGTAAAAAACCAGGAATGCTGAAGAACTGGTCGACCAAAACTTTAGTCACTATTTTAAAAGTTGCTTTAAAACATGCTTCCATGTGATAGCTTCACAAGTAACCTTTCATCTTCCATATAGAACATACATTCTTAAAGTCTTGCTGCCTTAAAATATTTTAATCCTTTATGAAATATTTCAACTACAGATATTCTATCCATATTCAGTAACTGTGGTTACAAGTATATTTGGACTTATTTCTATCACGGTACCACATGCTTCTGTTTACTATTTGTTTTTTGTTTTCCTTTTCTGACTCCTATCAAGTTGACAAAGTTTGCTACTCCTTATAACTCCCTTTTTTCTCTCTGTCAATTAAAAATCTATGTTGTTTCTAGTATTTAGTAAGTATCTTTACATTTTTACCATGCACACTTTAACCACAAGCTATCATAAGAAATTTTAAACTTGTTTAAAATCTTTAGCCTCCTCCCAAACAAATCAATGAGTCTTAACTCTTCAAACAGCCTCCCTCACCTTATTATTGTTGTCTAGAGCAAACAGAGTCCTCAAACTCTCTGTGGAGAAGAGTCAGTTGCTTTTCCTTCAATTCACTGTGAGCTGATACTTTAATAAAATACAATAATAAAGGCACAATAATGTCAAATGGCTATAAAAGTTTAAAAACATTTACTTTTTTTGTACTTGGCTTATCACAGACTGGTGACAGTTCTAGACTAGCTCTGGTCCACTCTGAACAACAGTCGTGATTTGTTTTATCATTTATGGTATAAATTAGTTTTTGTGTGCTTTTTGGTATGTCAGTAGTTACCCAAATTCACTAGTGTTTTACCACTTTTATACACCTTGCTATAACTTGCTGCTACATCCCATATCTTCCCTTTGGGATCAATTCTTTATCTACAACATTCAGTATAGACAGAAGCAGTAAACTTTTAGTCTTCGGATACTTAAAATTGTCTTTCTTTCACCCTCACTCTTAACTGAATGTTTAGCAGAAACAGAATTGTACTTTAACAGTTAACAGCACTTTGAAGATACATTTCTTCTTGAATCTACTGTTGCTGATGAGAAGTCTGCTGTCAGTCTAATTTATAGGTAATATTTCCTTTCTTTCTATGAGCTTTTAAGATTTTCCCTTTTAAAATTATCCTTAAAGATGAGTGGTGTCCCTAAGATATCTTTTTTCAGCCTCCTTTTGTAATGTGGAGAGCCCTATCTCAGCTTCTGTGCTCATTTAGTGTTCATTTTGCCCAAAGAAGCCCATCTTTCAGCCAATTATATCAAATGCTTCTGCCCACTTCTTTGTGCTTCTATTCCACTGCTGTTTCAGAGATGTTTATTATCTTGCTTTTTGTTTGTTTTAGCAAATAATGTGTCTTTAAACTTCTCTCATTTCATCAATCACTGTCTTTGGTTTGGTTCAAAATCAAACCAAAACAAAAACCTCTCTTTAGCCTGAGATTCCACAAGAGATTTCACTCCCTTTTCCACATCTATCTCTCACCATTCCTTCTCTGCCACCTTTTACAACATCTCCTCCCATATTTAGTCTTTAAAAGTGGGAGACCCTCAGGCCCATTACTAAGTCCCTTTTTTCTCACTAAGTACTGCTTATCCTTGGTCTATCTTCTCTGAACTCATGACTTCAGTAACTATATGCCATTGTTGTATCTCGCTATTTATATCTCTACCTTGCTTCTCTCCTCTGAACTCCAGATTCATATAATCCAAATGTCTCCTTTAAAACCTACACAGGGCTATCTTGAGGTATTCTCAAAGTCTGTATGATCAAATCTCAACTCATGATCTGCCTCCAACAAAGCTGGTCTTCCTCCAGTTCCTTAGTTCTCTCAGTGCCTGGTACTTTTATCCATCTGGTTGTTTCATCTAAGCCAGAAACCCAAAAGTCATCCTTAACACCTTCTTTTTTCCTCTATCCTTTACCCTAAATTCAAACCAAGTCCTAACAATTTTACCTCCTAAAACTTTCCTAAATCTATCTGCTATTCTACCATAACCCTGTTCCAAAGTATCAAATCTCTTACCTGATACACTTATAAGTAAGATCCTTCTTCCTGTCTTCCCACATACATCCTTGCCTCTTCTAAATCAGTCCTTACAGCAGCCAGAGTAAAATTATTAAAACGCAAATCTAATTATACCTCTGCCATGGTAAAAATCCTTCAACACACTTCACTGATCTTAGAATAAAACCTTTTAAAAGGTTCTGGTATGTGGTCCCTGACTACCTTTCCAGCCACATCTGGTATCATTTTTCCTTATTACCCAGACCTTCCTTCAGTCCCTTAAGACTCACCACTTCCTCTAGCATTTCACGGTCTTCCAACATTACCCTCCCCTCTACTCAGAATGCTCACTCTATTCAGCTCTCATTCTCTCCACATTGTTCACTTCCATTCATCCTCAGGATTGCAACCTTAAAAGTCAAGTCCCAAAGACCTTTCTGGAGCCACTAGAGTAGGTAAGATCATCACATGCTTTTATAGCACTTGCCACCATTTATGTTTATATAGTTACCTGTTAGGTTACCTTACCAGTGTGTTTCTCCTCCATACACTCTATGACAGCAGGGAAATCTGTCTGCTCACCATTGTACCCTTAGCACTTAGAGCACAGTAGCTGATGTATAGCCGGTGTTCAATAAATAGCCACTGAATGGAGGATTCTAGCAATAGCATTTCAGATCATCAAGAATTAGGAAACAACATGACCACTAAGGAAATCATGTAGAAAACTCATTTCACTGATTTGTGGCTAAAATTAAATAGGATAAAAAACACGAATCACCTGACATGGTAGCACAGAGAGCAGGCACTTAGTAAAAATAAATTCCTTCTCCTTTCTCTAACCACCTTTAAATACAGAGACAGCAAAGACTATAATATAACTGACTACAATATAACTTGCCTCAGGCTTCTTAAATTTATTCAAAGTTGTAACAGATATCTGAAATATTTAATGAAATTGTATTACATTTAAGCAAAAGCCATTATTCTTCTTTAACCCCTAAAGAATTGTTAGAAAACAGCCAGTTGAGATTTTCTTTTAGAAAAATTAATATAATATGGATTTAGAAAAGATGTATGGGTGCTGTTACGATATGAGTTTTCACCCTAAGCCACACTAAACAACAAACTTACACCAAAAATATGATTCTATTTACACAGAGCTTTTGCCTGATGTATCAATGCACACCTGCACTAACAAAACTCACAGCATCATGCAAATCCTCTTACCTTGTGTTCAAATGGAGCACCATAATAGCCATCATTCAGCCCAAAGATTATTTCATTCTGGTTGCGGGCATGAATCTAAGAGAGGAGGAAAATACATTATTAGTTCATCTCATTCCAATCAAATTTTAATGTGATTAGAAAATGACAAGACCTACTTCAATGTTGAAAAATAATTGGCTATGTCTAACAAGCCAGCAGAAAACAAATTGCACATCATAAGACAAGGTAATCAATTTAGAGTTTCCTGTTTTAGTTAATGTTCTCACAAAATCATCACATGAGATCACAGGCACCATCCTTCACACATTTTCCACAAACACTTCTTGAGATTGTTACAGAAAGCAAATTCCTTAAGCACAGGGGTTAAGAGGCATACTATACATTCTTTAATCTCAAAGAAAACACAATCCAGGACTTCCCTGGTGGTCCAGTGATTAAAAATCCACCTGCAATGCAGAGGATATGGGTTCAATTCCTGGTCTGGAAAAATTCCATATGCCTTGGGGCAAGTAAGCCCAAGCACCACAACTACTAAATCCCATGCACCCTAGAGTCTGTGCTCTACAATAAGAAAAGCCATCCCAACGAGAAACCCGAGCACCATAACATAATACAGAGTAGCCTCAGTCACCGCTGCAACTAGTAAAAGCCCAGGCAAGCAACAAAGACCCAATGCAGTCAAAAATAAATAAAATTAAAAAAAAATAAGTTCAATTAGTCTGTTAATGCTTTAAAAAAAAAATGAAGTCCTAGAAAAAACATAAAAGGTTATTATTATTTTTTATCTTCAAAAAGATAGTCTAAAGATAATATCCAGTCCCCAAAACCTTTAAAAGTCTACTAATTATTTTCTACCAACTACTCTTTCAAATACAACTGATTTGAGTTTCAGTCAGTGTTACTTCAAATTAAACTTCATCTAAAAAGTGGAGTAATAAAACTTTCAAAATTGAAGAAATAAGAATTTTTAAAAACTCAAAATTCATAAAGACTCATATAGACTCACAAAGTCTATAAAAACAAACTTGATTACTTGATCAGAATGAGTTGTGGCTAAAATGTTTTTTAATTGCTTTTGCAATGAGGAATTAAAGTGAGGGTTCAAGTGGGGGAAAGAACAAACACTACCAGAACAGAACATTTCATCTTTTCTTTCTCTAGCTAGAGATACAAAGGCCAAAGTCAGCAGCAGAAAATTCCTGTGAACATTTACCTGACTTCCATACCCACCATATCTGTTACTAAAGCAGAATTAATCACATGCTTCCTGTTAACCTATATCTTTACTCAACTGAATACAACGATACCAAAAGATGGACCTGCCATAATAAACTTATGATGACAACTATAAACCAATTTTAAGAAGTGTCTCATTTTATGACAGAAAAGGAGAAAGCACTATGAAATCAGTTTCAAGATTAGCAGAAACACAAAAATTTTACAAACATAAAATATTTTATACATATATATATACCTCGAGAGGAAACAGATTAAAATCATATGCATCAAAATATTAACAATGGTTGATCTGAACAAATACTTCATACACAAAAAAGAAGAAGGTGGAGGATTGAGAACAAATGTACATTTTCTTAATGTAAAACATCATTTCATCAATAGGGAAATCAAAATTAGGATGAGATACCATCAGAATGGCAAAAATTAAGAAGACTGACAATAATAAGTCCTTACAAAAGCAAGGAACTTTGATACATTGCTGATGGGGATGCAGAATGATAGTCACTTTGGAAAAAGTTTCACGGTTTCTTACAAATTTCAACACAGCTCTTACCATAAGACCCAGAAATTCCATTTATTCAAGAGAAATGAAAACTTATATCAACACAAAGACTTATATTTAATTATTCACAGCAGCATTATTCACTGTAGTGGTGGTTACTTACTTCATACATTTGTCAAACGCATTGAAATGTATACATTAAAAGGACAAATCTTACTCAGCCATTAAAAAGAATTCATTTGAATCAGTTCTAATGAGATGGATGAAACTGGAGCCCATTATTCAGAGTGAAGTAAGCCAGAAAGATAAAGAACTTTAGTGTTTATGTTACAGCATACTAACACATACATATGGAATTTAGAAAGATGGTAATGATAACCCTATATGCAAAACACAAAAAGAGACACAAATGTACAGAACAGACTTTTGGACTCTGTGGGAGAAGGTGAGGGTGGGATGTTTCGAAAGAACAGCATCAAAACATGTATATTATCTATAGTGAAACAGATCACCAGCCCAGGTCGGATGCATGAGACAAGGGCTTGGGCCTGGTACACTGGGAAGACCCAGAGGAATCGGGTAGAGAGGGAGGTGGGAGGAGGGATTGGGTTGGGGAATACATGTAACTCCATGGCTGATTCATGTTAATGTATGACAAAACCCACTACAATACTGTAAAGTAATTAGCCTCCAACTAATAAAAATAAATGAAAAAAATAAATAAATAAATAAAAATAAAGGGACAAATTTTATTGTATGTAAATTTTAGCTCAAAAAACCCTAAATTTGTAAAAAAATTTCGTTCAAAAGTCATTGATTCCCTGACCCTATGCAGGCTTGTCTAAAAACCTCATAAACATACTCCTGTAGCTCTCTTTGTAGGTATTTACTTATCATTAGTTTACCAGGTCCTAAGAACCTTATCTAATATTCATCTCTGGATCACTGACACTAAGAACAATGCCTGTCAGAAAGCAGATGACCAATCAATAAACCTAAGTGATTCTGGCTATTAACCTAATACAGCTTAGCCTCGATTTCCTCTAAAAATCTGTAGCTCTATTATATCTGATTTTTAGTAGTATGTTGTTGTATCTATTTCATAGGTGACTTTAAGTGTCTAACTGGCTTAGAAAAATGTTTTCCCTTTCTCTTGTTCTCTGCTATACCAACTTTGTAAGAGGATACATGAATGCTAACTCTCTGAAAGTAGGGTAAGTTAGACCTAAGTACATTTGGGTATTTTAAGAAGACAACCAACTAAGGAATGTATGAATTCAAAAACATGATGAAGGCCATCTTCTCTGGCCAAAAAAAGACTTTGACAGAAGCCTATAGCTCTGCAACTCTAATGCTAAGAAGCACCACCCCATACAAAATGTAAACAAGTGCTTAGTATCATTGTGCATAGGGTCTGTGCACAAAGAGCCAACTACAGCATGTAGGAAGACAGAAAGAGAATGTGCCCCAGTGCCTTTAGCCTGGCTAAAGCATTTGGGACTAAAAGAATGACCCTAAGCCAAAGTCATTACTTCATGAGTTTTAATTGAGATCAGTCCTAAAAGAGAAGAAAAAAATATAAAAATAAAACAGAATTTGGAGCAGGTTAGAATTTAGTAAAGGAAAATATTTATTGCATGCATTGTTCTGGTCTCTATCCAAGAACACAAAATAAACTATGGTGTGCAAAATAAGGGCAGAGTTGTCTCTCTTTTTTTTTTTTAATCTGAAAAATATAGAGAGAAAACTGTCTAAAAGAAATATACCAGATGGTATATATGCTGAATAACTATTAAGAAATATGAAGGATGTTCACAGATACGACTAACCTTTTAGCATTGCCTTTGTCAGTAGTACCACAGGTATCACAAAATAGAAGTGGCATTTATTTCAATGTGGGATGGGTGGTTACCAAGGACTACATGTATACAGCAGTGTAGTACAGAAGAAAGAGAATGAATTCTTAAGTCAGCCAGGCCTCATATAAATTCCAGCTCCATCTATCAGTGCGATCTTCATCAGTTTCTTAAACTCTCTGAGGCTCAATTTTCCCATCAGAAAACTATGGGCAATAATTTCAACTTTCACAAGGTTGTCATAAACATTAATTGCAGTTACTTATGTCCGGGAATGGCAAAGAGGTTTCATTTCATATGCAATTCTGGCATACTGCTAGGTGCATTCTGGAGCACCGTGTTAGAAAAGACCGCACAGCTACTTCTGAGCTCAGATAGCTCAGTCAGCTACATCAGTCACGGGGAATGGGTAGCAGTAGATAAGCCAGGCATTTGTCATCCCTGTGTTCAACAAATAGTATTTTTTGGAAAAAAATTATTTTTGGAAAAATCCTACCCTACTCTACTGGTCGTAAGAGAGGTGTTTATTTTTCAGATTCTAGGGGAAATATCCAGCATGACAGAAGAAGCAGAGTACTATAAGAAAGCAAATTCTTTCCTACTGACCACCCCACTCAAAATCCTCTTAAATTAGCAGCTTAAAGCAGTCCTTCATAAATGTTTCCAGTTATTTTTTAAACTTCTCAATGACGCAAATTTCTGTAATTAAGTAAACAATCATAAAAGGTTTTTTATTAACAGGAAACATAGAATCTGACAATTCAACAAAAAAACCTAGATGGTTTTTTTGGGGAGGACAACTACTTGAAACTGCAGTCTAAAATTACCTGCTGACCCAGGTATTTCAGCCCATCCAAACAGACTTTCCATTCAATCAACAGCTGGTAGATGTCCTCCTTTCCACCCCATATCTTCACCACAAAACAAGACACAGATGTATCCAGACGGTCTGGCATTATTCCAAAATCAAGACTGCGCCATGTTGGATTCTGTTAATGGAAATGAAAACATGCTTTAGGAAGACCCTAAATGTTTACAGTTATTTCAGTTAGGTTGTATATAATTTTGTTTTTTAACCAAAAGAACTCATATATTACATTGCAAACTTAAGTGAATAAGACATTCCAATTAACATGAAGAGAGTGATACTGACACTTTTTAATTTCTCTGCTTATTTATTATAGTCACTAGAAGGAGCATATATTCTAGTCTCTAACATGGCTTCCAATGGTACTCCATTTATTTATTCCACACAATACACAATCATTAAGAAATAACATATAAACAATGCCCTCAAAGTACCTCCAACTTATTGCTGGATTTGAACGACTCTTTAAATAATTACACAGTTTCATGGAAAGTCCAATATTCAAAAGATTACAAAGTGGTGCAGGAGGGATTCATAAATTATGAAGGAACGGGGGAAAGAGGGCATACAGGCCATGAAGTTTGGCTTTTACAGGACAAATAATATTTCACCAGGTTGAAATAGGGAATCCCCCAGCAAAATAAGGGCTCAGAGGTGTTAAATAGCACAGTGTGGTCAAGCAACTAAGGCAACTGCAAGAACACACAACATTAAGAGTGGCAGGATGCAAAGCTGTAGAGATCAACAGGAGACTTCATGCTGAGGAGGCAGTTTACTGTGTACAAGATGTGGGGACATTGAGAGGTTTTAAGGTTAAGAATGACAAGGTCAACTTTATGCTCCAAAAGAAGTTTGTTTTCCATTCAGATAGTTGAAACATTCTCTGAAAAGGGAAAAAATTAAGGGACTTTAATATTATCAACAGACATGAACTACACAATGCATCCATTACTTACTTTCAATTATTTCCCTACTTTTTAAAAATTCTTTTTTAAATTTTTATGTGGAGGATAATTGCTTTACAATATTGTATTAGTTTATGCCACACATCAACATGAATCAGCCAGAGGTACACACATGTCCCCTCCCACCTCCCACACCAACCCGCCCCTCTCTAGGTGACCACTGAGCACTGGGTTTGAGCTCCCTGTGCCACACAGCAAGTCCCCACTATCTATTTTACATACGGTAGTGTTTCAACGTTACTCTTTCAATTCATCCCTCCCTCTCCTTCCCCCACTGTGTCCACAAGTCTATTTTCTATGTCTGTGTCTCCACTGCTCTCCTGCAAATAGGTTCATCAGTACCATCTTTCTATATATAAATATATACATATGCATTAATATAGGATATCTGTTTTTCTCTTTCTGATTTATCTCACTATGTGTAATAGGCTCTAGGTTCATCCACCTCATTAGAACTCAGATGTGTTCTTTTTTATGACTGAATAATATTCAATTGTATTATTGTATAGATGTACCACAACTTCCTTATCCATTCATCTGGTGATGGACGTCTAGGTTGCTTCCATGTCCTAGCTACTGTAAATAGTGCTGCGATGAACACTGGGGGTAACGTGTCTTTTTAAAGAATCCACCTGCAATGCAGGAGATCCTGGTTCAATTCCTGGGTCGGGAATATCCCCTAGAGAATGGAGACGCTACCCACTCCAGTATTCTTGGGCTTCCCAGGTGGCTCAGATGGTAAAGAATCCACCTGCAATGCGGGAGACCAGGGTTCAGTCCCTGGGTTGGGAATATCCCCTGGAGGAGGGCATGGCAACCCACTCCAGTGTTCTCGCCTGGAGAATCCCCATGGACAGAGGAGCCTGGCGGGCTGCAGTCCACAGGGTCGCAAACAGTTGGACTGAGCAACTAAGTGCACAGCACAGGTATATGCCCAGCAGTGGGACTGTTGGGTCATGTAGTAGTTTTATCCCTAGTTTTTTTTAAGCAATCTCCACACTGTTCTCCATAGTGGCTGTATCAATTTACTTTCCCTCTAACAATGCAGAGGGTTCCCTTTGTCCATACCCCCTTCAGCATTTATTGTTTGTAGATTTTTTGATGATGGCCATTCTGACCTGTATGAGGTAATATCTCATTGTAGTTTTGATCTGCTATTTCCCCTACTTTAAATGTTAGGGCTCTCATTACTGAACATAACTCTAATTAATCAACTTTCATAATATATAAATCAGTAAATCAAAAAGCCCTCATATAAAGATAACTGATCTTTGCTTTGTGACAGTTTTTTTCCTGACCAAAGTGGTGAGGGGACCAAAGCAGTATTTTTGATTTAGGGGATATATTGATGTATGTGTTTTTGTGAATTTAACTGCTGACATTTCAGGAGAGGAAACATGACTTCTAGCTTCATGGTGCTTATGTCTGATCTTTTTCACTTGTATGTATTTTGCTTGTATATTTTTATGTTCTGATTTCCCTGTACTAAAATAAAAGCTCTGATAGACAGGAATACTGCCCAATTTGTTTACCACAAGATCCTCAAAGTTTGACAAGTACCTGGTATGTGCTCAATAAATATTTGCTGAATGAGTGAGTGAATGCCCACTTAACCAAAATGGACGTTTCAGGACACCAAAAGATTATCAATAAATAGCATGATGATAACACAATAAGCTCACTGTGCAAAAACAGTTTTATACAGATTCCACAGCACCCATGAATTTCAGCCTAAGATCACCAGAACTCCATTCTGATATGACCCCCACCCCGTCTCTATCCCACCAAAATTGTTTTAGCAACCCTGCTAAATAGGGGTAGTGGGCTGTGTCACTCAATGTGTCCAACTCTGTGATCCCACGGACTACAGCCCGCCAGGCTCCTCTGTGGGGATTCTCCAGGCAACAATCCTGGAGTGGGTTGCCATGCCCTCCTCCAGGGGACCTTCCCAACCCAGGGACTGAACCCAAGTCTCCTGCATTACAGGCAGTTTCTTCACCGGCTGAGCCACCAGGGAAGCCCAAGAATACTGGAGTGGGCAGCCCATCCCTTCTCCAGGGGATCTTCCTGACCCAGGAATCAAACTGGGGTCTCCTTCATTGCAGGCAGATTCTTTACCAGCTGAGCTACCAGGGAAGCCCAAATAGGGGTAGAATTTCATTTAAATATGGAGATGAACATTAAGGTCTAGGAATAAGTAGGCAGACCTGTACTACAAAAAACGCTAAAGAAAATTCTTTACACTGAGGGAAAATGACACCAGACAGAAACTTGGCTCTCTAAGAAGGCATAAAAAGCAATGGTAAAGAGTAAATATAAAAGACTGTCTTTCTTATTTTATTTATATCATATATGACTGTTTAAAGTAAAAGCTGTAACTGTATAAAGAGTTTTATAACATATGTATAGATTCATATATACAAACGTAACAGCACAAATTAGAAGGTAGAAAACTAGAACTATTCTGTTGCAGGGTTCTCCTGTTTACATGAAGTAGTTAAAAGTACATATGGCAATCCTAAAATAATGATTTAAAAATTAATGCAAAGAAGTACAGCTGAAAAAACAAGGCAAGAATGTAAAACAATATGAAAAAATATATATTCTATGATTATTTCATTTATATGAAGTTCTAAAGCAAGTAAAACAAATCTGTGGTGACAAATGATTTCCTCTTGTGGGGAGATGGCTTTCTGGGCACAGGAGAACTTTCTGGAATGATAGGAAATGTATATATCTTGACAAGGTATGTATGCACTTACCAAAACTCAGCAAACAAAACAGGCAAAATTTGTGCACTTCACTGAATATGACTTTTACTTAAGGAAATAGACACTGAACTCCAAAGTATAGGTTTGCTTCTTACAGTGGTAAGGATTAGTAATTCTGAGGCCACTTTTTGTGAATTCTAAGCATGAGCAAAGATGTTGAGGTCAGTAGAAGTCAGGTTTTTCACTGTCAGAGAATGAAGTGACAAATGAATTGGGAGTTCAGCTGGACTGAAATCGGAGATATTGGTATGAATGCATGATTTTTAAAAGACAGAGCAATAGATATATTGTGTGTGCGTGTGTGTGTGCATGTGCGTGTCATTTCCTAGGTCAGTCCCTTAAGAAAGGCTAGAAGCAATGAGCACACTAGTAACAATGAGCATGCTCAGATCTTGCTGTCTGTTCCGCAATCTCAATAAAAGAGAACCAAGGGTTCCTTGGGGAGAAAACTGATTCCAGAGCTATGGCAGGAAGGGTACAACACGAGTCTGGAATATCTCAAGCCAGAATGTCAGGAAGTACTCAATGATGTGAACATATCAAAAGGATATAGGAATCAATTTACAGGGCTCTCACTAACCAAATGCGGGATAATGTTAAGCATCAAAATAAATTACAGGTATAGATTAACCCACTGAATAAAATAAGAATCTTTGAGTCCATAATGATACAGATTAACAATTAATTAAATGGGAGAGAAAGCTAAATTGCCAACTAATAAATAATAAAAGGAGAGATGGAATTAGAAAATCACCAATGGATGCTAAAACTGGTAAGCAAACAGTTGATAAGAAGCAGGATATATAAAAAGTCTCAAAGTTTCTCCCTCACAAATTACTTATTAATTATAAATGGAAAAATTATAACTTCTCAGTGGAGAAACCTGGCAGGAATTACCTTAATCAAGTGACAAGTTGGGGCAAACCAGCAATAGGTGCCTCTTAAAGCACTGAAAAGAATACAGCACTACCAGTATAGTTTTCCTGCCAAAAATGCAAAACCTGAATCTAGTCAAGAGTCTACAAAATAACTGGTCTGTATGGTTTTAAACTGAGGGGCTGGTTCCAAATTGAGAAAGGAGTAGGTCAAGGTTGTATACTGTCACCTTGCTTATTTAATTTATATGCAGAGTACATCATGCAAAATGCCAAACTGGATGAAGCACAAGCCGGAATCAACATTGCAGGGAGAAGTATCAATAACCTCAGATATGCAGATGACACCACCCTTGTGGCAGAAACCAAAGAACTAAGGAGCCTCTTGATGAAAGTGAAAGTGAGTGAAAAAGCTGGCTTAAAACTCAACATTCAAAAAACTAAGATTAAGATCATGGCATCTGGTTCTATCACTTCATGACAAATAGATGGGGAAACAATGGAAACAGT